TATTTATATCAACAGAGGCCTTTGCACGGAGCTCGAAAGATATCCTCTCTTTTGCACGGACCGTCCCCCCCACGCCAGAGCACAGACCGCACCCCGAGGCCAGAGCTGGATTCGCAGACCACCATCCGCAGACTGGGGTCGACCACCATCCGAAAGACTGGGGCCAGAACGCTCCACGGCCTCGGGGGCCAGGGGAGGCTCGACGGCCTTGGGGGGGGGGGGGCCCAGCAAAGAGAACCCCCTGAGAGCCCAGCAGGACCTTGCCCATGAAGCTCGGGCTCTCGCGAGACTTAATCCCACCAGCCCTCTGGGCGTAGGTGGTCTAGAACAGATCCTCTTCCACCCCTCCCTCTTCCCCCTTGGGGAGGGGTTTACCCCTCCCCCTACCCCCTCCCCTGGACCTGGACGGGGGGGGCCGCGGGTAGTTAGAGCGTCCGGAAGCGAAAAGGCGAGAAAGCAAAAATCATTGATTTTCCTTAGGTTTTGGGACGATTTTGGCCTCTTCGGGGCTTCCGAGGGGGGGCGCTAATTCACCCCCCCCTCTTGTTTGATCGATCTCCTCCAAGATGGCCCCAAGAAGCGCCCAGGAAGCCCCAAGAGGTCCCAAGATGGCCCCAAAATGGCCCCAAGAGGCCCCCAAGAGGCCCCCCGGAGGCCCCCAAGAGACCCCCAAGAGGCCCCAAGAGCCCCCCCAGATGCACCCAAGATGCTCCAAGAGGCCTCGGCGAGAATGCCTAATCATTGATTCTACACAGGTTTTAGCCACATGGAGGCCTCTTGGGGGGGGGCACGGATTAAGATGACTCCAAGAGCGTCTGGGAGAGCCCACAATGACCTCCAAGATGGCTCAAGATATCCCAAGATGTCTCATAATGGCTTCCTCTGTGTGCTGCCCACTTCTCTGATCGAGGCAATTCCTCTGGGCATCGTTACTGGATGGGCTGGTGGGGATTCGCGAAGCGACAACAATTACACTTGCCACTTAGGGCGGTATGTGGGTGGGCCAGAACAGCTGCCATGCAAGCGAAAGCGGCCGATGTGACACGCCACCCCCCCGACGCCCACACATCTTCCGTAAACGTATACATGCGTGGGGCAGGCGGGGGGGGTGAGCGAAAGCTTACTGAATTAAGGAGAAAACTCTTTCCCTCTTCATCGGCCAAAGCTGTTGACAGAGCTTAAACTCCGATGGGCATATGTATTTATATATACAGAGGCCTCTGCACGGAGCTCGGAAGGTATACTCTCTTTTGCACGGACCGTCCCCCCCACGCCAGAGCACAGACCGCACCCCGAGGCCAGAGCTGGATTCGCAGACCACCATCCGCAGACTGGGGTCGACCACCATCCGAAAGACTGGGGCCAGAACGCTCCACGGCCTCGGGGACCAGGGGAGGCTCGACGGCCTTGGGGGGGGCCCAGCAAAGAGAACCCCCTGAGAGCCCAGCAGGACCTTGCCCATGAAGCTCGCCAACTCTCGAAAAAGACGCCGAAGCTCTCCATTCTGTGTTTTTCCTCTGGCCGTAGGCCGAAGAAATATCAAGACTGGCGACGGCAGCTCTGGCAGCAGCTCGCACCAGTCACGAAAGATTAGTTGCAGCAGGTCACGGGCTGCAAAACGCACAGACACGAGACAAGTCTCCCGACGGCAGGTAGCACGGGCGCGGTACTCCGCGCGTCAGGCTGCAAAGTGACAGGGCGAGGTGCAGGCACCGATCTGCTGGAGCCAAGCACAGAACAAGTCAAGGAAGGCGCGCGCTGCAGGGCCAAAGCCGGCACACATGCCGCAGCTGTGGAGGACGACTGCGCCAACCAGCGGGTCGTCGAGCGTGGCCTGCTCCCGCGCGCTCTTCTGGCCGGACGCATTGGTCCAGGGCAATGACACACGCCTCGGGCACAGGGCTCAGAAAGATGATGCGCTGCACAGCCCCAAACTCTCGCCAGTGCGAAGACAGAGTGGAAGGCCACGAGCAGCACGGCCGCGAAAGCCACCCGTTCGGCGGCTGGCGCTTAATCCGCCAACGCCGCGCAGAGCTGGGCAGGCATCGGCGGCGCGCGCTGAGGGATCTCCAGTCATCTAGACTGTCAGCAGCTGCTAAGCCACAGGATAGCGGCGCCTCACCTCAGCACGTGCTGCACGCCGCTGAGGGTGTCATTGGCAAGACTATTTGTGCACTCTTTTCGGCCCACAAGTGCGCAGGGTAAACGCACCGGCAAACACAATAACGTTCTACGTCAAAGGCAGCGGCAGACCATTGGCAGCAAGGTAGTCAACATAAAGCTGAGCGCCAGTGTCGAGGCGCTCATCCTGGCGTGTTCTCCGTCTCTCCAGCCCAGCTCCGGCAGCGCGGCGGTCAGCAGGGTCACTCGCATCCCCGATCGCGGAGACGCGCGGGGGGGCGTCCGCGGGGCTCCGAGCCGACGACGCGAAGCCGAAGACCGCCTGCGCGCCGATCGCCAGCTCCCACGCCGAGAGGGTCCGCATCACCATGGAACACAGGACTGCTGAAGCGGTGCTTGGACAGCACACCGTGTTGACTATGCTGCCGAGCAGGTGCAGGAAGACGCGCTGGCGGCGGCGCCTTGACCGCTTCGCCATGGGGAAACATCATCGGCGCGCCCTGGCACCTGACAGCGTTGACGTAACCCGCTGCATCCCACAGTGGCTGCCTGGTGGGCCAATGCCTGGGGCGAACTCTTCCCGCGGGAAGATCTCGTTGAGCATCTCCCAGGCCCCAGCGGTTCTGATGTACGCACTGTTATTCCGGGACCCCATGACGAGCTCCTGACGATGCGTCTGGGCGCGTCCAGCTCGCATTACTCCTCCACGTCAGGCCTCGCAAGCTCTGTCATGAGGATGCTGTACGGCACGCCTGGCCGGTCCCACAGTGGCAGATGAGCAGGGCCCCGCGCAGCGACACCAACCTCTGCAGGAGAGCTGGTTGTATGCGGATCCAACCAGCGAACAGGGCAACAGCGCCCTCCCGTGACCTCACGGAGATCGCCGAGAAGGGGGGTGCCTCACTGCGAGGCAGCCAGGGCCCACTGCCGAGACACACGACCCACGTAGATGGGACCGCCAGCGCGTCCAGCGTGGCGCGCAGGCCCTCGTCGATCTCGGAGCGGCCCCAGTGCAGCGACGGCACGTCGCCGGCCCACAGCATCTCGCCGCCAGCCCACGCTCACGCACTGCGTGCAGCTCACCCAGCGAGGGCACTGGGACCAGCCGCCCAGCACCGAAGGCCCAGTGGCCGATCATCCCGGCCACCACCTCGCACTGGAAGGAGTTGCCCGCGAGGGACTGTTGAAGAGCATCGTACTTGGCGGGCTCGATCTCCGCCTCGCTGCTCATCATGCACGCCACAGTGTGGTCCTCCGGGCAGACCATCAGCTTCTCTCGTATCCTGGCGTCAGACGGCTCGACGCGGTCGTCCGCCCAGTGCAAGCACCACTTGCCACGGAACTGGTAGGGCGGCGAAGCGAAGCCACCCGTCTCCCAGCTCGCCAGCTCCGCAGTGCCGCACTCCTCAATGCCCGCCGGCCTGGGGCGCAGCTGCGAGCACGGCATCCAGCGCCCGAAGGTCGGCAGCAGCTCGCCCCACAGCGGGACCTGAACACGCAGCCTCGGCTGGGAGCCACTCCTCGAGCGGCGGCCGCTCCGCCTCCAGCGCCGCCCCGCAGGCGCACCGCACGTCCTGGGTCTTGGCCCGCACCGCGACGGGCACAGCCTCGAGCGACGGCAGGAAGCCCCACGAGACCCAGTGGAGCCGCGGACGTCGGACCCAGCCGACATCCAGCCACGATCTCCGGCAGGGTGCGGCCGAAGAGCTGGTTCGGGCGCATCGCGTCGCACTCGGGCACCGACATGACGTTCTCCCCGACGAAGACGATCGACGCCTCCGGCATGGCCGCCGCAGCATATCCTCGACCCGCACCATGTGGTCGGCAGGCCCGCCCACGGGTCGTCGAGGCCCTGCCGAGCGACGTCGGGCCCGCGAAGACCCGGCACGGGAAGCCACCCACCACCAGCACGCACGACACGCGGCCACGGGCGCGTAGCAGGGCTGCCATGGCCGCCGGGTCCGCCTCCATCACGTCCCCCAGGTGCTGCCAGCTGGGGTAGCTGCGCCGAGCCATCCGCATCGCCGGGGGGCCAAACCGAACGGTAGGCGCACGGCAGGGACCAGTCCGAGGGCCTCGGAAACCCGGCACCCGCCGACGATCCCGCCGAAGCCACTCACGAGGCCAGTCACCTCCTCGCATGCGGCGTCCGCTGGTCGCTGCCACCCCTCGGGCAGCGCGCGCCCACGGTCGGAGAAGGCGTCGCCATAGATCACGGCGCCAGAGGCCAGGGCGAGGGTTCGCGGGCCGCTTCCGGGCGAGGGCCCAGCTGGCCGCCAGCGGCCGCCAAGAAGAAGCGAACTCGAACTCAGCGGCCCAGCAGGATGCGCACCGCCCGCCTCCTGGCCCGTCTCAAGCGCAGCGTCCACAGCGTGAGGCTGGCCATCACGGTCAGGCAGCCCGTGGAGGCTGCCGAGCGCCCTCGACCAAGTCGACGGGCACCCCCAAGGTTGTCGTTCACAGCACTTGATGGATACCCTCGGCCGGCGACCCTGGGGGGCCCGCAGCCGCGTAGCAGGCGCGGCCCTCGGAGATGAGCTCGGGCACCGTCTCTGCAGCATCGCGGCCGCGGACTTGCTCGCGATCTCTACGACCTCCAGGTTGTCAATGTAGACCATCCGCGCCGCACGGCATGGATCCTCCACGCTGAACGGCAGCCTCGGCGTCGAGTGACCTCCCCGCTGGGCGGCAGCCTGCGAGGGACAGAGGTGCTCCGCCGCAGCAGGTTGCGGTGGAGGTGGGTCGCCACGCCCACGGAACTGATCCAGCCCAGGCCGACCACCCGCAAGCAGATGCGCGCGGTCCCGCCGTCCTTCAGGCCAAGCAAGTCCGAGGGGGCGGCGGAGCCAACAACGGTGTAAGGCCGCCGCGCAGGCGACCCGCGAAGACGTAGAAGAAGGCCTCCTTGCCCGCGCCGCGCCACAGCAGACCCTCCGACTCGGACAGCGCCAGGCCGTTCAGCTGGATCATGGTCGGGAGCTCGGGGGCGACTCCCACGATGCACTCCTGGCACGTGTTCGACGGGATAAGGTTGGCGGTCAGCCTCTGGGTCGGCCGGCGCCTGCGCTGCAGACCGCGGGCACGCCGCGCAACTTGGGCACCCCGAAAGCCCCGTGCACGTCCGGCAGCGTCAGCTCGTCCAGCCCCTGCTCCAGCGTCAGCCAATGTGGCGCCGAGATCTCGTTTCCGCCGCAGACGATCATGGATCCTTCAGCCGCACTTCCAGTCGAGAACTGGTGACAGAGCCGACTCGGCCCGTGTAGGTCCGACCTCGACGGGGCCTGGCCAGCCTCGGGGGAGCCGAACCAAGCCTCCCAGTTCAGCGTCAGGACAGCGACCGCCCGTCTGCAGTGTAGTCCTTCCCACTCCTTGTCGCTAAGAATGGGTCCTCGCCCTGCTGGGCGATCTGGGACCTGATGAAAGAAGGGTACGGTAACGGCAACAGATCTCGCTGAAGCCGACCTCCCATGTCGGCCGAATGCTCGCGTGGCTTTATCTCGATGGAATATCCAGTGGAGCGAACGGAAGGAGCCTGGGAACTCGCGGACTACATTCAACCTCATGGGGACCACGTCGGAAAAGTTCTCACAGAGGGTCACTCCCCGCGCCAGCCCGCGGGCCCCACCCTGCCAGCGGATCTGCCCTGTCGCAGCCGGCAACCGCGCTGCAGATCGGCGGGCACGGCGAGGATGCTGGGCGGCCCGCGGTGGCAGCATCATGACGCCCAGGAACCAGTCCCGAAGACGGCGAGCGCAACGGCGAAGTCCAGGGCGGTCTGCACGAGCGGGCAACCTCGGCACACGCGGTCACATCCGCACGCGCTCCGTCAGCGCCGGCACCGCCAGCTCGCTGCCTCACTCTCGCCGCAGGAAGGCCGCCTCGACCTCGGCCCGGGCGCCTCCTGCCGCCGCGGCGGCGGTCGAAAAGGGGGGTGGCCTGGCCTCCTAGCGGACCTTGCCGCGGGCCCGCTGCCGCCGCAGCCGCGGGCCAGTCCTGCCCGAAGACGTGGCGCTCCGAGCTCGCCGCCAGAGAGACGCGCCTCGGCTCGTACGCCACCCTCAGGCGCGGGCTGGCGCCTCGAGGCGTCCTCAGCGAGCCCAGAGATGGCGGCCTGCCCGCGCTGCCTGAGCGCGCTGCGCCTGGGCGGCCCGCGGGCGGGGCTGCGCCTGGGGCCCTTGCCCAGGCCCAGCTGGGCCTACCGCCCGCAGGGGAAGAAGCGGCCACGGCCGCGCCCGCTGCTCCTGCCGCGACCGCGGCTCTGCTGGTGGCTCGGCGAGGGCGAGTCGGCTCTGCCGCTTCCGCGCCCGCCTCCTCGGGTCGGGGTTTGACGCTCGCCCTGGCCCCTGCCACCGAGCTTGCCGCAGCTCTTGACTCTTGGCGTCCAGCAGCCTCCTGCGCAGCATCGCCACGTGCCGCGCCAGGCCCTGCTCGCCCATCGAGGCCAAGAAGAGCCGCGCGTCCGGCACGACCCCAGCTCGCTCGCCATCCGCCAGTACGCATCGGCCAGGGACAGCACCAGAACCTCGAACCCCCGCACAGCACGTCGCACAACTCCGCCAGGCATCCGTCCTCCAGCGAGTCCAGCACGGTCGCCAGCGCCTGCAGCACACGCTGAGTGTTGATCAGCATATGCCCTGGAGGGTGATGGCCGAACACCACGACCCGCAAGTATCCCATGACCTTCGCACGAGCCTCTGAGCGGCCCGCCCCTCTTCCTGCAGACCCCTGCCGCGGCTGATGTTCTTCATCATCGCCTCGTCGTGAAGGGCACCTGGGCGCTTCGCCACCAGCAGCCGTACGCTGCCGACGCAGGAGGGGGGCCTCGCCAAGACGCGACTCTCCGTCGTCGTCCCTGTGCGAGCCTGGGGCGCCCCGGGGGCAGCGTCGACCGCGGCCGCCAGCGGCGCCGCCAGGCGTCGTCGCTGCGCCCTGCGTGCGCGCCGCGGCAGCACCCGCCAGGCGGTCGGAGGTCGGGCCTCCGAGGGGGGCGCCCCCTGCCAAGGCCACGCCGCCGCCGGGCCCGCCGAAGATGCTCGGGCGCACCCATGGCTCCACGGACGCGCGGTTCAAGCGCAGCCGCAGCCACTCGACATGCGGGACTCCTCGGCCAGGCTCGGCGGGCTCCCCGCACAGTGCCGGTCCCTGCCCGCACGAGCGCAGGAGGCTGCAGGCCCAGCGCCGCGCGGCGGGGACAGGCCATCCAACTGCTTCGCCTCGACCACCAGCGACGCTCTCCTGAACTGGGCGCATCGTACTGCTCAGAGCGGCCCGTGGCCCCGATCTCCTCTTACCTCGAACGAGGCAGTCCCGCTGATGCCCCCAGCTGCAACCTAGGTCAGGAGCACGAGATTCGCACCTCGGTGCCAGGCGGCACCAGGCAGGGCCACGGGCTGCCGCCCCGGACCGTCCACGAGAGTCCCAGCCGCGCGCCGGCCGTGGGGGGCGTCCGGCTCGCCTGCCACCGCGATCGGCAGTCCATGGATCGTCGGCCCCCAGGTGCCGCACGTGGAGGAGGGCCACCAGGGGGGGAGGCCGACGCCGCCGTCCACGAGTGCCCCCACCAGCGCAGCGCCCACGTCGCCGAGGGGAAGCCTCCGCCCCAGGCACGGCGCCGCCACCCGGGGGCGCCTCAGCACCCGCGCCGCCTCCGAGGTCGGGCAGGCCGGGCAGCGCCGTCAGGCCAGGCGCCGCAGATGCGCCAGCGCCCTCGCCGCGGGCGCGGCCGCCGTAGCACCGCCGACCGCCGCAGCCGCCGCCAGGCCGGAGCAGCCGCGGGAAGGCGACGGCGCCTCCGCCTCTCTCCGCGGCTCCTCGCCCGAGGCCGCCGGCGCCGCGCCCTCGGCTGCGGCCGCGCGCACGGCCCCAGGACTTTCGCCTTAGCCTTAGCCTTAGCCTCGGCCCTGCCCCTGGCGACGGCCCTCGCCTTTGACGATCTCGACCCCCCAGGCCGGCGAGCGCGAAGAGCAGCGCGTCCGAGACCCGGGCGGACACGAGCAGCACCGCCCTCTCCTCCACGCCGAGGCGGGCGTGCCACCCCGCCTGCTGGGTCAGCCCGATGACGTAGCCCAGCTCGCAGACCTCCAGGAGGGCTCCGCCTTCGGCCAGGGCCAGCGACTCCCCTTGCCCGAGGGGTCCACCGCACCAGCCGCAGAGGCACACGGGCGGCGGGCGCGGCACGGTGGTCCTCGGGAGCGGATCTGCCCTCCCTGGAGGGCGCAAAACCAGCCAGAACAGCTGCCATGCAAGCGAAAGCGGCCGATGTGACACGCTACCCCCCCGACGCCCACACATCTTCCGTAAACGTATACATATATATGCCCAAAAGATCGGCGATAGACCCCCGATTGCAAACACACGCGGTCCTGGGTGGGGTGAGCTATGGGGCCCTCATCGGTGCTGAATGAGCGATGGAGTGTCGACGCATCTCTCCCCCGTAAAGTTGCCCCGGAGTCGTGAGCGGCATTGGATGCAGCGCGCTGCCTCACGACGAAGGGACACGGCAACAAGGAGGTTGGTTTGATTCCCAACTACCTGCAGCGTCCCACACTGGCATCCGAAGGCAACTTCAGGGTGACCCTCACCTTCCCCCACGCCCCTGGTCACATCTTTGATGATGACGCGTGGCAGTAGGTTCTGGTGAAAAGAAACTGGCTCAACGCAGGATGTCCTGGCCTGGCGCCGAGCAAAGACATCCGCCGACCCTTTGAGGTTTCTCGGCGTGTAAGATAGCTGCCCTCCCCAAACCCCTACTCTGGGAGCCCGATCCTGTTAGTTTAGAGGGGGGGGTCCCGCCGGCGGAGCCGACGCAACAGGACCGCGAAGAGAGACCCAAGAGGCAAACATCGTCCCATGGGGACGCGGTCGTCTGTAGCGCCTCCGTTATTTACGCCCACGCAGCGTCCACGACTGCCTACGAGGCCTCCAACAACGCCCCAAGACGGCCAACGAGGCTGCCAAGAGAACCTCAAACGGCCCACGATGCCCCTAAGACGGCCCAGAAAGCGCCCAAGACGGCCAAAACAAAGGCCCCAGGAGGGGGGGGGGATGACAGCGAGGGTGCCCTGGGCCAAAATAGCCCCAGGAAGCGCCCCAAAGCCCCCAAGAAGCCCAAATGGGGCCTCCAAGAGGCGTCCAAAACGACCGTAGAGGGCTCCAGGAGGACCTCGAGAAGTGCGAAGAGGGCCCGAAGAGGCAAAAATCGTCCAATAGGGAACGTGCATCTTTATCGCCTTCGCTACTCGGGTCCACGCAGCGTCCGCGACTGCCTACGAGGCATCCATCCAACATCGCCCCAAGACGGCCCACCCAGGCCGCCAAGAGAGCCTAAACAGCGCCCAAGAGGGCCCCCAGACACACCTCAGACGGCCCAAAAAAGCACCAAACACGGCCCAACAGGGGACCCTGACGCAGAAATTGCCCCGGGCACCGCCGAGAAGCCCCAAAGAAGCCAGAAGCGCCCTCCAAGAGGCTCCTAGAAGGCTCCTAGGTGGGCCCAAGAAGCACCCCAAGAGACCCCAGAATGGACTCCCACCCAAGACGGAGAAAGCCAAGGGCTCGTGGCAACACCCCTACTGTTGAACCAAATGCTCAACCCGTCCTCACCAGACGCCTTTGGTGGCCACAGTACCCTCCCAAGAAGCCCCAGGAGGCATCTTCAAAGTCCAAAAGAAGCCTGCCACACGCCCACGCACCCCAGAGACCGTTGGCCCACAGGCCCTGGCCCCGCGCCGGCACGAGCCGACGGCCACTCCAGATGCACCACGCCTACGACAAACTCCCACAAGCTCCGACACAGTCCTGCAGCACACGCAGACTCCCAAACCATTTCCCGAGCACCTACAAGCTCACGCAAAGCACTTACCAGCGCTGACGGCCAAAGAGAGCACCAAGAAGAAACCAGACAGGGCCCACCAGAGAGACATCGAACTAGCTTTCGGAGCCGCACCAGCTCCATTGCTTGTTACTGGCCCCCCAGCTTTGCCCCGAAGGGGTCGGCATTGCGACGTAAGCCCGTGAATCTGCATGGGCGTGAACCCATTCTGATGCTGTCAAGGCTGACGGTGCGCACAAGCATCCGTAGCCGCACGCATGCCCAGCCATAGTTTTGATGATGACGCGTGGCAATAGCTTATGGTGAAACGGCACTGGCGCGGGCGCAGCTCACTGGCCGTGCCCTCGCGGAGGGGCGGATCTCTGATCGGGAGCTGTAAACAATCAGAAGAAGAGAAGTTGCCAGGCAAACTGGGAGAGCACCCCGTACCCCGCGTCTC